AAAAAAAAATCAAAACAGGCATCTGTTATATTCCTTAATGCCATCAACACCTTTAAAGTTTTCTCTGAAAATGCTATAATAATCAAGTTAATTTCTTCACTAGCTTCTTTATTATGTATGTTTGGGTAAATAACATAGTGAAGTATAGTATACTTTTTCTTTGCTCCTCTGTTGCCCAGCATCTTTATGAATAGATTCTTTTATCTATTTGGTATGTTCCTAAAAAGGTAAATTAATTTGAGTGCTAATTTAAGGAAAATCGCACTGAAAAAAATGCTTATTTAAAAATATCAATCCGAGGAGAGGTGTAAACTGTTTTTGACTTATCTGTTTTATTTGTTACTGTTTCACTGATGTACTAAAGTAGCAGTGTTTCTTGAGGTTTGTTACTTTTAAGATAGAGTAATAGGTAACTTAATAAAATTAGTAATCACCTTTTTCATGGGTAGTGTGGTATTTTGTATCATTCTTTAAGCCATTTCTGTGTGACTATAATTATTTCAAATGGTCAAGTTTTTAAGTGCAAATATCTGCAAACAGAAACCATTTAGACTTATACCAAAGGTATTTGGTTCAGAACTTGGGCTGAACAACTAAAGAGAAGAATGTAGAGCATTCAGAAAGGGTGCAGAAGGAACCAAGAAATGTCTCAAATGCTCTTTTAAAAGCAAACAAAAACATTTCGAATCCCTAATGTATTCTTCTGTCTCGGTGAGAAATATATGATATACCTGGTGTCAGACTCATTTTAGATTTAACTGGAAAAACATTTTTTTCATTATATTTTGCGTACTTAGTATTTTAAAGCTTTGGCACATAAAATACTTCAAATAATATTGTTCAAAGACTTCGTCAACTAGATTTGATATACCTTGGGTCTTGTGAAAGGGAGGACTAAGATGTAATTGAAATTAAGTAAACAAAATCTCAGTGTAAATAAATTCAGTCTCTGTGATAATCATGTTTATTAGTCATTAAAATGAATTTATACTTTTTGATTAAAAAAGCATTTATATAATGCTTTTATCTAATGTGTTTTTTATAAGGTCAAAAGAAATAGACTGGCAGCCTTATTTTACTACACGTATTGTAGATGATTTTGGCACACACCTACGAGTATTCAGAAAAGCTCAACAGAAGATAACAGAGAGAGATGATCAAGCGAAAGGTAATACCTTTATTCCCTTTGAAAATTAGGACTTTAAAATCTGTCTTTCTTTATCATTCTGTACATCTTATTCTTTTCTTTGTGCAGGTACAGCAGAAGATCTTGTGGATACCTTCTTTGAAGTTGAAGTTGAAATGGAGAAGGACGTTTGCCGTGATCTAGTGTGCACTTCTCCCAAAGATGAAGAAGGTTTTCTTCTCAGTTTAACTCTTTGGAGAACAGTAACTGTTCAGATTGGTTGGAGACAAGTTAGCAGAGCCAGGGAACAAAATAAGGGTAAAGGGTGAAATTATTCTTACAGGATAGGTAGCATAGTATAGACAGTGTCACTATTCATCTTATTTTTTAACTCTTAAAAGTAGTTTCCAGATTCTTTTCTCTTTTTTAAAGGTTGTCTTTAACATTTAAAGGTGGTTATTAAAGATTACTTCTCTTCTTTTAAAATATAGCAGGCACAAACAATTTATAATTGTAAATTTACTTTTTATGGTCTACAGTAATTTATCTTCTCCATACCTGTTACCCTAAAATATTTTCTAAGAGAATGAGTGTAGTGATTTCAAATATAGTTTATCGAGTCGAATGGACTTGTCTTTTCTTTGTGAGAGGTTAGACCGGATAAGCTTTAGCTGAGGAGGTTGTCTTTTCCTAGTTTTGCAGCCGCTCAGAAAGAGTCTTTGCTACTTAGCACATTTTTTGATTAACAGGATCAGCTATATAATTCTATTCCCAGGAAGTGTCAGCATGTGAACTACAGAGTAGTTCTAGTTGTGGAAATTGTTTTCTTCAATTTTTAAATTGTGCTCTTCTTTCCCCCCTTTTTTCTTCTTTCCTTTTTATATTTACGCTGCAATTCCATTTTTAATTGCCGTTTCATTAGCACTGGCATGAAATAATAGCTAAGGATAAGAAATAGTTATAGTGATGTGCAGTACTTTTCATGTAAATCGAGGAAGTAGTAAAATAGAAGAGCACGCTCTTTTTCTTTTGTTACTACCTACCAAGATAGTGGAGGTTCTTTCTTGAAAGAAGAATTATAGGTATATTTTAAAATATGCAAATAACTTTTAAGTATGCTAAGATAATGTGTAGTAGAAGTGTAGAATACGTGGTACAACCACAACTGTTTAGGGGGAAAGCATTTTGATAATAGAAGTTTCTCAGTGATCCAAAAACAAGGTAAAGCTGAGCAGAATAAAAAAAATACTAGTTTGATTAATGAATCGTTACTGTTTGGAGAATAATGAAAAAATTTAACCAATACTGATTTGTACTAATTAATTATTAAAATAATAAGCTGCTATAATTGGGAAACTACTTATTTCTGCCTTTACAATCAGTGGAGATTTGATATTTTCTAATGTTATTATAGCTACCTTTTTCATTTCTAGGATTCCTAAGGGATTTGTGTGAGGTCTTATTATATTTATTGCTACCTCCTGGAGATTTCCAGAACAAGATCATGCGATACTTTGTCAGGGTAAGCTTAAACTCATATCAGATAAATGGCTATAAAGAAATTTAGCATGGTAATTCTCAAAATATTTGGTTTCAGGACCCTGTTAAATTCTTAAAAATTATTGAGGACCTCAAAGAGCTTTTGTTTACATGGGCTGTATTTATCAACATTTACTGTATTATAAGTTAAAACTAAGAAATTTTGAAACACAGGAATACACAAGCACACATTCCATTAGTTGGTTTCTATCATCACGCCATCATGGTCCTTTCTGAAAATACCACTGTGCGCTTGTCTCCTTCCATCACCCAGAGATCCCTTTACAAACTTTGAGAACTGCCTGACTTAGAGTTAGGTATGGGGATTTTTGGGTTATAACAAAAATATGTTTTAAATTTTAATACAGCTTTACCGATAAACTTACTAGAGTTAGGCTAATTAAAATAACACTTCTGGATAGAAACTTTAAAAAAACTAGGCAGCTAAGATTCTGCTTCTTATAATTAGAAAATGAGTACGTGGGATGAGAACAGTAGTCTTGGACTTTTTATTCCCCCTATATAAATATAGGAATAAAATTCTATATACAGATGTAAAGGAATAACATTTTTGTTTTGATTGCTGGTTATGATTGAGAAATGCTAGCTAGCTAGCTACAACCCTTATGCTGGTTGAATGGGTAAGATCAGAGTTTCTAATTTATATGAAAGTGAAAGCTTAGGATCTTTTTGTCTACCATCCAGCAAAATAGATACCAATTCCTGAGGTGTGCTTTTATGCTTTTATGTTATTATTTAAGCAGTTTCACACAATTTCTTAGTACCTACCTAACTCGAGTTCAGTGTACTTCTCTAGTAGGGCAGTGGTGCTGTGAATTGAGTAGTAAATGCTTGGTTTTAATGGGAAATGTCTGATAGATGATGTATTGTTAAGAACAATTATTTGGGCTAGTCATTATCAAGGGCACTAAATACCTGACATGTCTATCACTAGATTCACATCTAGCACTGAAGGAAGACACTGCTAATCAGTTACAGTACTCGTTCCTGTTGAGTATTTGTTTGGCAGCAGAATCTTTGTCTACCTGGTACACTAGACAGCCACTGCTGGGCAGTGTCTCAGCAGCTTTCACGTGGCTGGCAAACTTTTCCCTCTTGAAATTTTGTCTTTACTTGGGTTCCATGTCATTGCTGTCCTGATTTTTCTCCTCCTTTGGTCTCCTTTTTAGTCATTTTTACATGTTTTAACTCCTCTTGTATTTAACTTTTAAATATACAAGTTCTTTAGGCCTGGGCCCTCTTCTTGCTCACCCATTCCTGTGTCTTTAAATACCATCCAGGTGCTAGTGACTTTCAAATTTATATCTTTAGTACAGACTTTCCTTCTGAGCTCCAGGTGCCTCTGACCAGCTGCCCACTGAAATCGCCATTTGATTGACTCACAGCCCTTTTAAACTTTAAATGTTCAAAATGGAAATCTTACTCTTGGTTCCATGTCCTGTCTTGCCTTTTAATCTCCTCTCCATCCTAGTAAATGCTGTGACCATCCAGCAAGTATTTCCCATCTCGAGTTCTTCCAGAGGTTTACAAGGCCATACATGATGTGGCTTTGTTTACCTCTCTGGCCTTTGTGCCATGCCGTCACTGTATTCCAGTGATGCTGTCTTCGTCAACGTAGGGCCATCTCATGCTCCTCTTTTTCTGGTCAAAATGATTCCTCTTATTCTCTTGGCTAAATTGTATTCACCCCTCGTATCCCACTTCCTCAGAAATGCCACCCCTGACCACCCAGTCAAGTCCCCTCATAATTCCCTATTGCTGTAGCCAAGTACACAGTTATTTTCCTTCAAAGCATTTACCGTATTTCAGTATTATAATTTGGTTGTTGTGTTTACTTACTTGATGCCTTTTTTCCCCACAGTAGTACTCTAAGGCCCATTAGGACACAGGCCATATCTGTATCATTATTATCTACTTCATGGTTGTCACGGTGCCTGGCACATAGCACATATCCAATCAGAGAATTAGTTTTAATGAGAGGAAACCTATTTGCCCTTCTTGCTGAAGGTGCACATGCTACTGCAGCTCCTGGAGATGTAGTTGACTCTTAGGAGACGTGACTGATGACCTGCCTTGTTACATGAGGTTATTGTTGAAAGCAAGTAGGGTTGGTTATTTATTTATTTATTTATTTTTATTTTAAAAGATTTTATTTGACAGAGAGACACAGCAAGAGAGGGAGCACAAGAAGGGGGAGTGGGAGAGGGAGAAGCAGGCTTCCCGCTGAGCAGGGAGCCCAATGTGGGGCTCGATCCCAGGACCCTGGGATCATGACCTGAGCCGAAGGCAGATCCTTAACGACTGAGCCACCCAGGCACCCCCACAAGTAGGGTTATTTAAAGAGCAAATATGTTTTGATGTAGATTGTAGACCAGTATTTCGTATCTTTATGGTTGAATCTAATTGTGTATACTTAAGTATCCTGCATTCAGCAACTCAGGTTTTTCTCTCTTAACTTGATAATTCTTTATCAGTTTTCTTTTGTTGGTAATTCAAGTTTTCCCAAAAGATGTTTTTGTTCAGATTAAATAACAGATTAAAGAGTTTTTACTTCTTGGGGCGTCTGGGTGGCTCAGTTGTTAAGCGCCTGCCTTCGGTTCAGGTCATGGTCCCAGGGTCCTGGGATCGAGCCCCGCATCGGGCTCCCTGCTCGGCGGGAGGCCTGCTTCTCCCTCTCCCACTCCCCCTGCTTGTGTTCCCTCTCTCGCTGTGTCTGTCTCTGTCAAATAAATAAATAAAATCTTTAAAAAAAAAAAAGAGTCTTTACTTCTTTCCTTTATATGGATCCTTTATATGGATTGTACAAGTCGTAGTATTTGACTGTAGTAATTGCTATTTAATCGTCTCTGCTTTCTGTCCATTACCACGTTTTATTTAAAGATTCATGGCCTCGATGACTTTGTAGCTTTTAAGCCTTCATATTTGACAGCTGGTGCTTGTCTTAAAGTAGAAATTATATGGAAATGGCTACTTATTTTGGAATATTTAGAGCTCTCACTAGAACCTGTATAGGAATTGTTGAGTCATATGATTACATCTTAACTAACCAAACCCTTTCATGAGGCAAATTAGAAGATAAAAGTAATTTTCTAAGACAGACTGACTAATTGCATTGACTAATAAGCACTAAATTTATTCACATGTTTTTTTTACTTTGCAAAGAAACTTTCAAGAAACATAGTTTTGTTTATGAATTTTCTCCTTACAGAGCACATTTTAAAATTTGAGCATATGTGGCCAGAGATAATTTGAAGGAAAGAATTATGTAAATAATATTTTCTAAGATGTTGGAGGCTAAAAGTCATCTTGAAAGAATAATTCCTCCTAATTTTAGAATGTAAGATGTCTCAAAAGATACTTCTAAAAGTTATCAGAACCGTCGCACATTGGACGTAAGGATTACTTAAAAATCAATTAATTAGTAAAAAAAAATAAATAAGAGGTACTGGCTGACTCAGTTGTTAGAACATGCTTCTCTTGATCTTGGGGTCATGAGGTTGAGCCCCACATCGGGTGTAGAGATTACTTAAAAGATGTGAAGACAAGAAAATAATTATAATACAAAAAAAAAGTTACTGGAACCTTCATGAGTGCCTTTTGGAAATGTTAATTCATCATTGGGTAATAGTTTTCAGAGACTTACACAGCTTACAAAACTCTTTTTTTTTTTAAAGATTTTATTTATTTATTTGACAGAGACAGACACAGCGAGAAATAAATATCTCTCTAAAGGAAAATAAAGTGAAGCCTACCTTTTATGAGCTAAGTATACCAGAAAATGGACCATATAAATTAGAGATCTTGATAAAAGGAATAAATAAACTGGTCCTTTAATTAGAAAAGTGAAACATCCTGTTAAACTTATAGTTATTTAGCCTTCCAGTTTTCTTAAGAAATGGTGTTTCATAGATTCAGGTATCAGCATGCATAAAAGAATGAAGATTAGTAATGGGTGAAAACATGGTATTAATAGAATCAGCACTAAATTCTTTATTTCCATTCCTTTAATATTTATGAAATGCCTGCCATGTTTAAGAATATGACCTTGAGTAAATATTTTTGAAGCTCGATAAATCAATAGATCACTTGACAAATGTCATTTGTATGCAGAACGTTCCTAGATAGTGGTAGTGTTCTAGAGAAGTGGAAGAGACACAATTACATAGAGAAGGATAAGTGACAAATGCCATAAATTCAGGGCATGAGTGTATTTTAAACATGTAAGTAAAAGAGTATTCAGCTGAAATGATCAAAGTTTATTTGATTGGAGATTTCATTCTGTAGTCAGTCCTTGGAGGAAGAGCAGGATTTTAGTAGGTAGGAGCATAAACAACTATAAAGAATGGGAGGATCTATTCTAGAGAAAGATGAATAATTAACATATTTTATTTTCTATTAGGAAAAATTTCAAACACAGATAAGAATAGAGAATAATACAGTAGACATTTATGTACCAACTACCCAAATTTAACCAATGTTAATGTTTTACTGTAGTTGCTCTGTTCTTCCCTTGAAGGTAACTACTATTGTAAAATTGGTATTTTTTCCTTTTGTTCTTTGTTTTTATACTTTTAATATAGATGTAGGAATTCATACATCTATATGGTGCCATGTTTTGCCCTTTAAAAATTGACATAAATGCTAACATACTAGAGATACCCTTTTACTTTTTTCCACTCAACTCTAGGTGCCATTGTGGAGATATATCCAGGTTGGTATAGGTAGCTTCATCTCATTTGTTTTAACTGAGATGTATTAGTTAATCTTTTTATAATATTGTGTTGGTTATCAAGTATTATGTGTATCATACCTTTCTTAAGTAACAGCGTTGTGTTATTTACATTATGCTAGTGATTTAAGAAGTATATTAGGTTAAATTTGTTTTTTACAATTTTTGTCCAGGAAATCCTTGCACGAGGAATTCTTCTTCCATTAATAAATCAACTCAGTGATCCTGATTATATTAATCAATATATCATATGGATGGTACGTACGTTCTAAAATTACAACTCTGTTTTTAAAACAGTTTTTTAAAATTTAGAAACAGTAATTGGAGATCAGGATGATCAAGCAATAATTTATTAAAGAATTTAGGTAAAAATATGTTTAAAGGTAATCTTTATATTTCTAGTACTTCTGTTTGCTAATATGTTGAATGCACTAGCCAAATTCTTTTTAAGAAGTTTGTTGATAATCCTGTTACAATTTTGGTGTTGTTACTACTTATTTAAATTAAAAAAAAAAAAGGATTTTACTGCCTGTGTGTTTAGGATGAGTATTTTAAAAAGTTGCTGTTTGGTTTTAAACACAGCTTGTGGTCTGAACTACTTAAATAGCATGTACTTTACATTTTTATACCTTATAGTGGAGGAAAGTATGGTGAAAGGAATACTGGAGTGAGAATGGGAGGATGTGTGTTCTAGATTTGTTTCTGTAAGTTGCTTAGTGTGTGTGTAAGTAGCTAGTTTTCTATAAATCATAGTTTTCTCATCCGTCAGACATATCAAAGGGTTAGTGATTAGTAAGTTTACTAGGTCTAATTATTTTCGTGTGTGATTATATATGCTTTTCCTCAGTAAACTCATAGTCAAGAAAGAGTTGTAAATGGGCTATTGCTGGGAATTCTTTGATACATATCTCTAGATCTTTGATTCATTTTCTTGAAATAGAATTTCTTCTCCACAGTTGTCTTCTGTTAACTCAGTCTAGCTTTCTTAGGAAAGAATTACTTTATTGTTCTTTGTTTCTAGTAGCCATTATCAACCTTGACATTGTTTTATTGTTGTTGTTGGAGCAATTTTTGTCTTTCCCACCAGATTGTGGGTTACCTACAGGCAGAAATGGTTTTGTTAGCTTTGTGTTCCTAGAGCCTTTTATGGAGGTCACACAACTTGATTCTTCTTTTCCTTTGTCAGTTTTTTTAGCGTCCTGTTGGGCTCTTCCAAAGCTTTAAAAACATGCATATCTGCCTAATTAAAATTTTTAAGAATGCATATCCTTTAGTTAGGAGTTCTACTCATGAAATTTATTCTAAAGTGATAATAAGTAAGTTTGAAACAATGTATATTTAAGGACATTAATGCCAACATTGCTTTTAAAACTAAAAAATTGAAAGCAATTTAAGTGTTCTACAAGGAGGATTTGTTTAATAAGTTATGGCATATTGATACAATAGAGTAAGTACATGAAGCCATTAAAAAGAATGATGGTAGTGTATCTTGAATATGAAAAGATGTTTACATATATATTTTTAAAGATTTTATTTATTTATTTATTTAAGAGAGAGAGTGGAGAGAGAGAGATCCTGAGCGGCGGGGATTGGGGGGTGGGCAGAGGGAGTAACAGACTTCCCGCCGAGCGGGGAACCCGATGCAGGACTTGATCCCAGGACCCTGGGATCATGACCTGAGCCAAAGGCAGAAGCTTAACTGACTGAGCCACCCACGTGCCCAAGATGTTTATATTTTTTATGTGAAAAGGATAACTAAAGGTGATGTGTGTGTAGATAATGCTTTTTAAAAATAAATATATAAGTAATTATAGTTTTATTAATGACTATATAATTCTGATAGTGTATATACTGTTTGAAATCTTAATAGAAAGAATTCTGAATGTTTTAATTTTCCTCTTTTGTTTATATATTTCACTTTATAGGGAGTATTGGTTATATAATAAAAATAATTTTTTAAGAAATAGGAAAGCAGGTAAAATTTAAAAACATTTCAGTAATGAAATAAGAGTAAATAGTTTTTTTTTTAAGGGTAAATGGTATTAGGAGATTTTTTTATAACACAGTAAAATGGATGTTTTATACTAACCTTAATCAGGATATAATACTGTATAATCTTACTGGTGGTACAGAAAAGGATGCTTGTTCACCAGAATGTTATGGTTATCTCTCACTCCTGGGATTAGGAATTATTTTTTTCCTATATATTTTTTCTTTAGCTTTCAATTTTTCTTTTGCTGAAGTTGTATTAACTATATAATTAAATATATGGTGTAAACATTTGGGGGGGTGGAATTTAACACATGCTCTAAAAGGAATTCAACCACCAAATCTTTACTTGTTCTCCCCAGAGTTGGATTAATACTACTATTGTGTATGATGCTTCGGTCTTTTTGCTATTTAATGAACAGGAGTTGATCCCTATTTCATGTTTCAGTACAATATCAGAAAATATATTTAAAAGAACAGAGTTTATCAATAAAGGATCTTTAGCCTACTTTGTTGTTTGGTTTACAATCTTTTGACATTATTCGTGTGGGAAACCTTGTATGCATTGGTATTATAAGTATTAAAATGAGCTGAGTTCTTATTCTTAGTTCAGTTATATTAATGGTATCTAACCATATAGTTCATTTCTATTTGGACGGAAAAGTTTAGTGCAGTCTAGTGGTAACATATCTTCTCTCTATAAAATATTAGTGTTACCCAAGAGTAGTTTTAAGTTTTAAGTCATTTCTAAAAATAGTATGGATGGATTTGCATTATTCATCTGTGTGTATTTTTTTTAAATACCAACTAATTAAGGATAAGTCTTATTTCTTAACTCATGTTGTTACCTTCAACTAGAGCAGATAAATGGACAGTTGTTTGTTTCTTAATGTATTCTTAGAAAAATCATGTCTTTAATAACCTACCATTTTTTTAATCATTGGAGTAAAATTTACATAAAGTGAAAGAAATTGCCGAGTAGTCTTACAAAGTTGTATTCTAATTTTGCACTTCCCTAGCACCATTTGAGAGTTTTCATCTCTCCACATTCTGATGAACATTTGGCATTACTGTTTTGTTGTGGTTAACTTGAATATGCCTGATAACTAATGATATTGAGTTCATGTGCGTATTAGCTAGTTTTTCCCTAGTTCTGGACTTCTGCAGTTCCCAGGTCTTCAACTCCTTATAGAGAATGGACAGTATCCCAAGTCTGCTGCCTTTTCGTAGCTTCCCTTACTGTTTTACTTAAGTATTGTTGGCAGTCATAGTGGTTAGTCACTTTATAATATCCTCGAGTACTTTTTGTCTCTCACTTTATTTGTTTGGTGAAACCACACTCTGGTTAAATTCAACTCAACTGTCAACTCCCATTCCTGTTCTTAAACAGCACATGGCTGGGGGAAAAAAAACAAAATAACAGAGTTATTTATGTGATCACATTGATTCTGTTCAATTTAGGTCAGAGAATGCCACTCTTCTGTTTAAAACCCTCCAGTAACTTTTCATTCCACTCAGAGTGAAAGCTCCCTCATGTACTGTACCCTACCAGATTGGCCTTCCATTGCCACTGATCTCGTCGTCTACTCCTCTACCTTTCTTTGGGACCATGAGTGCAGAGATTTTCATTTTGTTTTCTTAAAAGCATTGGCATAAACACTTACTGTAAGATTGTGCCTACTTCGCACGTGCTAGGCACTGAAGGTTCTTTCTTTCCTTACTGAGTCCCTCTCCCACCTGTTTTTTAAACTTTGTTTTCAGATCCGTGATTCTAATTGCAACTATGAGGCCTTTATGAACATTATTAAATTGAGTGACAATATTGGAGAGCTAGAAGCGGTCAGAGATAAAGCAGCAGAAGAATTACAGTATCTTCGATCTCTAGATACAGTTGGTGATGGTAAGTAATTCATTTAAGTATAGAAATGTTGTACTTCTTTAATCATTACTATATCTTTACACAGAACTTTAATTTACCTAAATGTCATTTTATGCTATTATTTTCACCTTATCTAAATCTAAATCTTTCTTATTATGTTAACATGTGCTTAGAATAAAAGCATTATAATTTTCTGAATGTGAGGCTATTAATATTGTAATTATCTCTAAAGTAAAAATAATAGGCATGGTTTACTTTTAATTAAATAATTTCACTATAAAATTTCAGATTATTTCTTTTATTGTTTGCTCTGTTCGTGGTTATTATGTTAAATTACAATACATACATGTTTAAAGTATTTCATAAATAACATTACCACTAGCTCACAATCAATTTGTTTGTATTTAGATATCAACACTATCAAGAATCAAATAAATAGCTTATTATTTGTAAAGAAAGTATGTGACTCAAGAATACAGCGATTGCAGTCAGGCAAAGTAAGTAAAGTACTTTCAGATTAATGTTTAGTTATAAATACTTTATATTCACTAATATCTCTAGCAAATGACAAGAAGTGGAATATTAACCAGTGCAGCCCTCCACAAAAGGACTTGTAGGAAAAATTTCTCTTATACATTATGGTATTAATAAGTATTTGTTAAAGCCAAAGAGATTAAAACACTTCCTGTAAAATGCCACAATAATTAAAGATTTTATTTATTGATTTACTTTTCATTTTTTATTCAAAATTTAACATTTATATAGTTTTATACACTGGGCACCATTTTAGATGGACCTAATAGACAAAAGCTCTCTCTTCATAAAACTTATGTTTTAGTTGCAGAATCAAAAATAAACCAGTAAATAAATTAATATAAAATGTTAAAAGTGTTAAAAACAAGTAAATATAAAAAATAACAAGTAAAGCAAAGTAGAGGGATAGAATGTTTTAGATGGATGCTGAGTGATTTGGTTATATTTGAGCTTAGAGAAATCTGATAGAATAATGAGAGAGTCCTGAGAAATTTTTTTTTTTTTTTTTAAGAATCTTCCAGGCAGAGGTGAAAGCATATGCAAAAGCCCTGAGATAGGAAGATGTTTGGTGAGTTAGAGTAGGTCAGCATGGCTGGTATGGAATAAATGAGAAGGGATGATAGTAGGAATGAAATTGGAGAGGAACCTTGGGGGTTAGGTTAGATCATATATGGTTTTATCTACCATAGTAAGATTTTTTAAAAATTCTAATTGTGATGGGAATCCATTGGAGATTTGTGCTGGCAAGTGACATGATCTGACTTATTAGTTAAAATAATTACTTGGGCTCTTTTGTGATGTTTAGATTGTGGTGGAGTTGCAGCGGGGGACAAGAATGGAGACTGAAAGATCATTTAGGAGACTGTTGGCTTTAGTCCAGTAAGATGTCTGCAGAGGTTGTGAGAAGTAATTAGAGATTGGATATAGTACTAACAGATTTGCTAATAGATTAAATATGGAGTGAGAAAGGATAAAAAAGGACTTGAGGATTCCTAGAATTTTTGGCCTCAGCAACTGCATGAATAGTGTTGCTGTTTACCAAAATGGATAATACAGGAAAGAGGAGGTTTGAAAGAGAGAATCAAATTTTGGATGTTTTAGTTTGAGATCCCTGTTTGACAATCAAATAGACCCAGTAGCTTGTAAACTCTGTAGTTCAAAGGGAAGGTCGGTGATGGATTATTAGATGTTTATTTAAAGTAAAGAGACTGGATGAAGTTACCTAAGAGAGTGAATGTAAGTAAGAATATAACCAAGGACCTAGTCCAGAGGCAGTATAGTTACTAGAGTTTAAGACAAGGTGGAAGATCTAGCTAAAGAAACAGAGTAAGTGGCTGGTGAAATTGAAGGAAAACCTGGGAGTGTGATATTCCAGAAGCCAACTATAGAAAGTTTTTAAAGAAGTAGGAGATCAGGTATGTCAAAGGCTATTAATAAGTTGAGTAAGATGAAGACTTAGAATTGACCATTAGATTTGCCACCAGGGGAATATTGGTGATTTGATAATAGCATTTTGGAGTAGCGGAGAGAAACCCTTATTGGAGCTGGTCCAGGAGAAAATGGGAAGAGATGAATTAGAAACAGTGATTATAAGTAGCTGTTTGGAGGGGTTTTACCTCAAAAAAGCAGAGATTTGAGCCTTACAAACAGAAAAGAGCTTTTTTTACTACCTTAGTTTTTCGTGTAGTCAATTTTTTTTTCTTTTTTCTTTTGGCTGGTTTTCTATTTTGGAAATTTGTTGTGACTCTCTGGGCTTCTAGTTTTACAATGTATTTAAATTTCTTAAGGAATAGAAGACTTATTTTTATAAATCTTGAGTTTAGTTGCTGGATTAATTATAACTCACATTACTTGAGGCCCACATCTGTCATATACCTGAGTGTACATGTATATATATCTTTGTTTCAGTTAACTGTATTTTAAAATTATATACCCATGCACATTCAGTATAGAACGAAACGGTTTTATTTATGCTTATTGTTTCATTAGTTTACCTTGTCTAGGCCTCAGAGTTAGTGGTCTTTCAGCATCATTATTTAAAATGTATTTGTCCAGATACCTTTTTTAAAAAAGATTTATTTATTTATCTTGAGAGAGAGAGAGAGCGCGCGCTCACGTGCATGTGTGGGAGCAGGGGAGGGGCAGAGAGAGAGAGGGAGAGAGAGAGAATCCTCAAGCAGACTCCCCACTGAGTGTGGAGCCCAATGCAAGGCTTGCTTCCAGGACCCTGAGAAAATGTCCTGAGCCGAAATCAAGAATTGGACACACAACCAACTGAGCCACCAAGGCACCCCAATGTTCAAACACCTTTTGATAGCAAATCCCTTTAAAATTTAGATATCTTGTTTTGAAGCCCGTCAATTCTTTTTGAGTATCAAGCTTTACCTTTTTAGTAGCTCAGCTCATACAGTGTTTTTTCTTGGGAAGGAAAGTCAGAATTTTCACAGAGATGAAGTTTTATAACCGTACTACTCATCTTGAAATCTTAGAAGGCCCTTTATCTTTTTTATTACAAATAAAGTTATAATGAATACTCTTCTGCATTTCATATATGCGGAGCTGCTTCTGGGAAAGAGAAAGAGGTGATAAGTTTGAAGAAAGAAGACTTAGGAGAAAACATGTGCTGGCACCAGGTTGCTTTATGCCAGACATTTTAAGTCAGTTATCTATTATTATACAGTATTTATATGAAGGGAAATACTTATTAGAGAGGAAGTTTTCCCCTTTTCTCAAGTTCTTTTCCTTCTCCTTTATGTACTACCTACATCTAATTTAGGATCTGCCCCTAATTAAGGCAGCCTGTCTTTCAGAAAAACCTGATCTTTCTTTTCTTTATTTTTTTAAAGATTTTATTAATTTATTTGAGAGAGAGAGAGCAGAGCAAGGGGGAGAGAGTGCATGAGCGAGGGTGGAAGGAGCAGAGGCAGAGGGAGAAGCAGGCCCTCCACTGAGCAAGGAGCCCGACACGGGACTCAGTCCCAGGACCCTGGGATCATGACCTGAGCTGAAGGCAGATGCTTAATGACTGAGCCACCCAGGCACCTCTGATCTTTCTTTTTTAAATAGAGGATTGTGAAATACGGATTTAGGAATACAGAGAAACTGGTGACACAGGAACATATGGGTTTTATGGAAGAGGCTGCAGGCTTTAAAAACACTGAGTCGTTCTTGGCAGCTCTGTGATCATAGGCAGCCTTTCTGATTTCAGCTTTCTTATCTCTTAAGTGGGGTGGGTGATATTTATCCAATAGGATTGTTGTGGAGAATAATGTATATAATATACATAGCACAGTGCTTGACATGTAGATTCTCTATAAATTTTTTTTGAAGATTTTATTTATTTATTTGTCAGAGAGAGAAAGTGAGAGAGAGAGCACAAGCAGGGGGAGCAGCAGGTAGAGGGAGAGGGAGAAGCAGGCCCCCCACTGAGCAAGGAGCCCGACACGGGACTCCATCCCAGGACCCTGGGATTATGACTTGAGCTGAAGGCAGATGTTTAACTGAGCCACCCAGGCATCCCTAGACTCTCTAAATTTTGAACCCATGTTTTATTTTTTAATTTTTTTCATGTATAGGTACTTACCTTGCTCTATTACTTTGAAAACTAAATATAATTTACTGTTTAGGTAGTATGAGAAGAAACACATTTTCTATAAAAGACGGTAGAGTTTTTATTCTGTTAGAAGAAAAATTACTCTTTCGGGATATTTCCTGTTCTCTCAGTGGATAGATTTCAGTCTGTACTTGAAAATGTTGGGCTTTATTTATTCTTGGACATTGTAAGCATTCCAAACATCCCCTTTACCTCCTAAAATGTTCATTTTCATTTGGAATATGTAGAGATAGAGAATACTTGAAATTCTAGTAATTCAGAATTATTTTGTAATGAAAGAAGTGAATGCTTATCATAATACTTTTAATGCATATTTACTAAGCAACTCTTAAAATAACTAGGAAATTCTCTAGGCTGGGACTGTTGGGAACCCACATGAATGAGAAAATGCTTAATATTTTTATATCTCTGTAGAGATCTTTAACCTAATGAGTGAGTAGATGAAGTATTAACCTACCTTTATTTTTCTCTGTAGGAAATAAATACTGTGAAACTGGCAGCAAACTTTGGGAAACTTTGCACAGTCCCCTTGGACAGCATTCTTGTAGACAATGTTGCACTACAGTTTTTTATGGGTGGGTAAATCCATTTTATGAAAATAATATAGCCCTCAAAATTTTTAATAATTATAAATATAATTAAATTTTAAATATATTAAGCATGCCAAATATGTCTTTCCTCCACTCCCCATTCTCTGAAGTATTCCTTTTGGAATCATAGAGGTAGAGATATATTTTGTTTAGAAGGAAAGAAATGCTTATTATAACTTAAGTGTGCATTTGTTAAATATTGCTTATTTAAATTCTAGCAGAGTCTATGAATTTAAATTATTTGAGAAGGAGTACTTTATCAGCAACACACATTGTTTATAACTTATTTGTATCATTTTGTGCATGAATAGAAGGACTTTATTTTTATATCATTTTAATATATATAAATATTTACTAATTTTGTTAATATTATAGTTGACCCTTGAACAACATGGATTTGAGCTGTGCAGATTCACTTATTTATACATGGATTTTATTCGATAAATACAGTATAGTAATACATATTTTCCTTATGATTCTCTTAACATTTTTTTCTCTAGCTTACTTTAAGAATATAGTACATACAAAATGTTCTATGTGTTAATTAACTGTTTATATAATTGGTAAGGCTTCCAGTCAGCAGTAGACTATTAGTAGTTATGGTTTTGGGAGTCAGGAGTTATGCATGGATTTTTGACTGTGTGGTGAGTCAATGCCCCTAACCTAACCTCTGCATTGTTCAGGGGTCAACTATACATCAAAATTGCTTTTTATCTGGAGAACATTTTCAGTAACCTTCCCTGATTCTTCATTTTCATGACCAAAAACATAAATATATGGCTTGTTGAAGATTCCAGTCCTTACTTTTAATATTTGTAGGAACATTAATATTATAATTTTCATAATCTTTATTAAGAACAGAAGCCGAATGTTACTAGTTTATTTTTGATGAAGCCTTCTGTAGCAGTTTTATCTCCTAGAAATTTTATCGTGAAAAATGAGATTTAAAAAAAAAATACATCCGTTTGTGTTTTTCACATAACTGGTCTTTTTAACCTAACCAATTTGTGATGTAAGCATTCTTCATCTCAGGCATTTGCTTAACAGTTTGAAAATGTAGAGTTTTAAGTATTTGAAACTTTAATCCTTTTTAACTTGTCATATGGCTACATGCACCCAAAAATGTGTGACATTAATATCTATGTTGTTAATGGATTTTGTTTGGTAGATTACATGCAGCAAACTGGAGGTCAAGCACATCTCTTCTTCTGGATGACAGTGGAAGGATACCGAGTTACAGCCCAGCAGCAACTGGAAGTTTTATTAAGTCGTCAGAAAGATGGAAAACATCAAACCAACCAAACCAAAGGTCTTTTAAGAGCAGCTGCTGTTGGAATATATGAACAGTATTTATCAGAAAAGGTGAGGCTCTATTTTGATTACTGTTTTCTTATCTTCTTTGGTAGTATCATTAGTAATAGTTTTTATAATACTTATGAATATTCATTACTCATACTAGGCACAACTACTTGCAAGCATTATCTCATTTAACCTTGATAACAATCTTTTTGTATATTATTATCCTTATTTTATAGGTAAAGAAACTCATGTTTAGAAAATTGACTTAACTTTGCCAAGGTCATGCAAATACTAGTGACAAAGTCAAGATTCAAGGTCACACACACTCTAGATTTAAGGACACAAAAGATTGAAAGTAAAAGAATGGAAAAAGATAAACCATGCATACAGTAACCAAAACAGAGTTGGAGTGGCTATACTAATATTAGACAATAGATTTTAAAACAAAAATTATTACTAGAGAAAAGAGCATTTTATAATGATAAAAGGGTCAATTGATCCTTGATTTATAACTGTTAAAACAGTTATAAGCACAACAGCAAAACCTCCATATACATAGGACAAAACCTGACTGAATTGGAGAGAGAAATAGACAATTCAACAATAAGTGGGTATTGAAGACTTCAATACTCACTCAATAACTGATAGAACAATTAGACAGAAAATGACCAAAGATACACAAGAATTAAAGAACACTATAAACCAATTAAACCTACGCATCTATAGAATACTTCCCTTAACAACAGCAGAATACACATTATTTTCAAGCTTACATGGAACGTTGTCTAGGTTAGATAGACCCTTTGCTAGGCCATAAACAACTCTGAATTTAAAAATAATGAAATCATACAAAAGTATGTCCTTTTATCATAGTAGAATTAATTAGTAATTAACAGAAGGAGTTCTGAGAAATTATAAGTTTTTAAATATTAACACATTTCTAAATAGTCTCTGGGTCAAAAAGAAATCAAAAGGAAATTAGAAGGTATTTTGAATTGAGTGAAAATAAGAACACAGTGTATCAAAATTTATGGGATGCAATTACAGCAGTGCTTAGAGAGAAATATGTCACTTCAAATGCCTAGTTAGAAAGAAGAAAGATCTCAAAATGACAATTTACATTTTCACCTTAAACTAGAAAAGGAATAGCAAAATAAATTCAAGGTAAACTGAAGGAAGGAAGCAGTAAAGATCAGAATGGAAATCCGTGAAATGGAAAACAAAAGAACAGTAATGAAAATCAATAAAACCAAAAGTTGATTCTTTAAAAGAAAAATAAAATTGACAAACCTTTAGCCAGCTTGGCCAAGAAAGAAAAGAAAGTCACAGATACCAAAATCATGAATGAAAGAGGAGGCATCACCAACCCTATGGAAATCAAAAAGACTATAAGCAAATACTATAAACAAGAAATTAGACAACTTAGATGATATGGGCAAATACCTTGAAAGACACAGATTGCCAAACTGTCATTCTGATACGAAAGCCAGACAGAGACATCATTCAGGAGACTACAGACCAATATCTCTCATGAATATGGACACAACAATCCTCAAGATTCCTCACACTCCAGTATTTGTAATGGTTATGCTATAATACCTTTTAATTTATACGTCCTAGCACAAAAATTGTATTTGAAATTTTTTTAAATAAGATTTTATTTTTATTTATTTGAGAGAGATAGCGAGAGAGAGAGAGCATGAGCGGGGAGGAGGGGAAGAAGCAGACTCCCCGCTGAGCAGGGATCCCGATGCGGGACTCAATCCCAGGACCCTGGGATCATGACCCTGAGCCGTAGGCAGACGCTTAACCGACTGGAGCCACCCAGGCGCCCCTGTATTTGAATTTTAAGTGTGAATTTTATTTGAAAACTGCTTATTAGTCCATTTGCTTATATTTTTGCCAAATGAAATATATCATTCTGTTAAAGAGTGCATATTTTAAAGAATAGTAGTATAACAGACACATTTGTATATCCCATCTTGCTGAAGAAATAGAACATCTACTGTGCTTTTGAAGATCCTTATATTCTTCACCTGTCTTCACCTGTCTTGTTTGCCTGTTTCCTTACTCCCTGATGAAGCCAGTTTTCTGTAATTATTCACTTACTTTCCCATACCATTTTACTATACATGTATGTTCTAAAGCAATATCTTGCTTAGCTTTGTTTTTAACCTTTATATAAATGGAATGATACTGAATGCCTTGCTTTTATTCCCCTCATTATTATATTGAATTTTATACATGTTGATTTATGTAAGTGTAGTTCATTTTTACTGAAGTCAAGAGTTTATTTACCTTCAATAATATTTATGAGCAGTTTGGTTTGTTTCCCTTTCTTTTCTGTTATATTTTTGCTCTGAATATTGCAGTTCATATTTCTCCCTGCACACATTCAGGAGTTTCTGCTGTTTAAAAACACAGTTTTAGTGTATATATCTAAGTCTTTCTGTGTTAATTTTTAAAGTAGGTTATAGAGTTAGCTCTATTGTCTATAGTCCAGTAGAATGGATTATAGTTAATACTGGAAAAATAAAAATTAATAGTTACTTAAGTCAGTTTCTTTCAGCATTTTAAAGATAGTATTTCATTGTTTTCTGGCTTTCATTATTTCCAGTAAGAAATCAACTATGAGTTTGTTATTCTTTTGAAGTTCATCTTTTTTTAAAGCTTTGAAAGACATCCTGAGTCTTGGGAAACCCTTCCCTAGGACACAGAAGTCCCAGATTTTAGCAGTGGATGGAGAAGATTGAGAAAAAATGCAAAACCCATACATGATTCCAGAATTCAGAGCTGAAGGCAACATTTTAGTGCAAAAGACCCTGGGATGGATTTCCCACCTTCAGTAGTCATTGCTGTCTTTTTCCCTTAGATTCTAATATTGGCAGCCATTATTTACTCTTTACAGTGAATTCTCCATCATGTAGCACTCCATGTATGGCTTAAGTGCATTGTTAACATGAATGTTAACAATTCTTTTACTTTTCCTGTCCTGTGCTTTGTATTATGATGGGACTTTTTAATTTTTAACATTATGAATATTGTAACCATGTTTTCTAAAAGTTCAGATAATGAAAATGAGAATGATGATAGTACCAACATCAGCATGACCCAGACATTGCCAAAAAAGGAGACTAAAGGACTAAGTCATTCTAATGACAAATAGAAGGAGCCCTACACCTGGATTAGGGAGAGTAAATAACCAAAATAAAGCATGCTGACTGCATGATGTGCAAAAAATATTTTGGGATTGGTCTTGGTGGAGAAGGGGATATAAAAGCAAATATGGAAATTGAATTTTGCAAATAATTTTAAGTCATTAAAAAGTTTTTTTCATCTCCCAAAAAGACCTCAATGGTCAGTTAAAAGTAGTGGCTGTTAAGTGAATAGCTTGGGCATACTGCACAAATGAACACACATTAGCCTGTCCTTTTTTTTTTTTTTTTTAAATTTTATTTACTTATTTGTGAGAGAAAGAGAGTGAGAGTGCATAAGCACAAGCAGGGGGAGTGACAGGCAGAGAGAGAAGCAGGCTCCCCGCTGAGCAAGGAGCCTGATTGGGGACACCATCCCAGGACCCTGGGATCATGACCTGAGCCAAAAGCAGACATCTAACGGACCGAGCCACCCAGGCATCCCGCTTGCTTGCTTTTTAAAAGTAGAATTACTTTTGGGCGCCTTTGGTAAGAAGTTTATGGACTGGAAGGAATTTGTGGCCCTTTGAAATTTAGAACTTAACTCTGGCAGATCTTACCAGCAATCATGCTTTCTGTAGTATATCATGTTACATCAGATTGTGGCAACAAGAGTGTATTTTCCATTGCTACTACGTACTTTGAATAAATGGGAGTTTTAGATATCTTCTTGATTACTAAGATTTTAATAAATTGCAGAAAACGTAAAACAAACTTTGCTCATATATTTGCATATTTAGCAGACAGTGCACTTGATCTTAGCCAAAAGGCTGAGAAACAATAGCACACAGTGCAAATGTAAATTTTAACAAATTCCTTTCAGTCCATAAACTTCTTATCAAAGAAAATGAAAAAATCTTACCTGCTAAATATCATATATTCCTTCTATACAGTACTGCTAAAACAGGATATCATTTGCTTACCTGTGATATTGAGGTTTTCATAATGAAGTTTTTTGGTCAATTTTTAGTTTCTTCAAAACATTAGAAACACTTAATGAGATTTTTGACATTATAAAAATGTCAGAAAATAACTTCTTTAGACATTTGCTTCCACATGGCTCTCATTGTTGCCAGCCATAGAAAAGATGCTAAAATATTGACATGCAGTAAAGTCATATTTTCAAAGAATGTGATAAGAATAGTGACATTAAAAATAAATATGGACAAGAATTACAGTAAACAGAAATTTATTTGCTTTTCTCCAGAACTATTAAATGATCTTTGAAGAGGCTAAAAGGAACCTTGAAAAGGATAGATTGACCTGAGTTGTATATGTGTAGGCTATAAAAAAAACTTCAGTCAAAAAAATTACTAATTTTTTTTGAAATGAGACTGTTGAGAACTCAAAAAAATAACGTAAGAAGGGGAGAGTTAGCTTAACAGGATTTTCTTAGTTTCTTTACTAAAACTGTAATTTATTTGGAATCTACCTTCACTCTCACAAGTTTAAATGACCTGTTTTTAAAACTATTTTCCTTGAGAAAGAGAGGTATAACTTTTAGTGACAGCCATTATGTTTTGAAGTGTTTAAAATGGGCATTTTAGACACAAATAGTCTATATGTAAATTCTTAGATGCAGTTTTTAATAAGTAAAATGTCATTATTCTGTGCCTAAATGGTTTTACTGAAAAGATACTTAACTTGATGTCATCACATTGGACTGATAAGGGAAGTAAGTGTGATGTAGGCTTAAGAACAGAGCTGAAAGTCTAAGTGAATTTTGTATTTGATTGTATTCATTTATACCACTTGATTTAAAACAAAACAAAGCAAAAGGTGATGTCCTAAAGTCTGCAGGCAGATCAGAGAAGTATTGTTAAAAAAGGAAACACAAAAAGGTAAAAATATCCTATGGGATCATGGAATAAAAAGAAAGTAGTTTTTTAAATTAAATATAGATAATACCTGTTTAGTCTTATTGTAGGTATATAACTTTTTTAGAAGTCTTATATTTATGCATTTTAACAATACACAATAATATAGCCTACAATATTTAAATATCTAATAAAGAGCTTAAAAAGTTAAATTGTGTATTGGAGGATAAAACCTAAATAGTTACATTTTTCTCTAACATTATTTGTTTAATTAGTCTTATTAATTACTAATTGCTATTAACTAGTCCTCTTGTTTTAAATAACCACATTTGTGTGGAAAAGTACAGAATACAGATTAATAGATAATTTTGGAAAAGCACTTATTTTTGTATTTTTATGTTAAAGTGGTAAAAAATGTACATAAATATTTTTTCTGTTTTTACTTTTTTTGAGTGGGGAGATCTGGTTTGTTGTGTCCCATGATAACTCTTTAAAAGTTTTGGTCACGTTATACCAAGGATGAGTCCTAATCCAGTTCTGTGTATTTGAGATTATAGGAAAAAGTAAACTAAATAAAGGTAAAATGTTATGATTTTCAGATTTGCACCTTATTTCCTAGAAACTGAGTTTCATGAGCTTAAAGGGCAACTGAGAGGGCAAAATAACTAAAATCAGTCCCTCTCTAAAATTTTTGTCACACACTTGAAGTTGTTTAGTTCTTTTTTTGTTTCAGGGGAAAAGACACACACACGCCACCACAGCACATCCTCCTCCACACACACAAACAACAAATAAGCACTCTTCCCTTCCTCCTGCAAAAAACCCCAACCACCACACAACGTACTTGGGCTTACTAACTAGAATGTAGAGTGAACCAGGGAGCATTAGACGTTGTATAGGCTTTTTCCTACATATTTATACCCTGCTGTTTACATACTCTTTAAACCTTTTCTCCTTTTCTGTATTTATCCCATCTTTTCCTTGGATATCCTATTGGGTAGCATAGAGAAATTATTTAAACACTGCATTCTTGTGCAAGTTTCTTTAGAAGTTCCCATCCTTATCACTCATTTATTCTCTAGAGCCTTCAGAGCTAAAAATTCAAAAGTTGGCATGCCAAAGATGACCATATTTCTAGCTTTTCAGCATTTTTTTCTTTCAATAAAGAAACTTTTCACATTGAACATCAGATATTATATTTCTGTGGCATATCTGTCATATTATGCACTTTACAATGGAAATTGTTGGAAAAATTAACTTTTTATATTTTTTGTTCCCCCATATCACACTGGAACTTCACCACAGCATTATAAAGCCAAATTTAGAAAAAGGGTAGTCTCTTAAAGACTATTTAAAAAGATTGTTTCTAGTGTTAAATAAGTAACAAATGGCTTATTCTTTGGCAGTCATATTAAATACACATCCAGGACTACTGGATGTTCAGCACTAACTCCTCATGACAGTGTTTCCTATGTGCCAGACACTGTGCTTGTATGCCTTAGATAAATCTCATTTATTTATTTTTTATTTTTTTTAAGATTTTACTTATTTATTTGAGGGAGAGAGAGAGAGAGAGAGCATGAGCAGGGGGAGGGGCAGAGAGAGGGATAAGCTGACTCCCTGATGAGCAAGGAGAGGACGTGGGGCTCACTCCCAGGATCCCGGGATCATGACCTGAGCCGAAGGCAGACACTTAACCTACTGAGTCACCCAGGTGCCCCAGATAAATCTCTTTTAATATGGTAAAATACTAATACGGTTACATAATAACCGTAGGTGGTATTATCTCCATTTTGCAGATTGAGGAAATGAAACCTATTGAGAGGTAACTAACTCAGCAAATGTCAAGATTTAAATCCATGTTTGTCTCCCAGTGTACTTTATACTACATGATGACAAGAAGATTTGGTTCTTATTTCAGCCTTCTTAAACGTCAAGGTGTTGTTTATAAACCAAGGGTTTTTTTTTTTTTTTTTTACCAATTACTTTCGATAATATGGTTCCATTATATAATTCTTCTACTATAAAGAATTAACTTGAATTACAAACTCAAAAGGTCATTACTACTATTATTTTTCTCTTTTAGGCATCTCCAAGAGTTACTGTTGATGATTATTTGGTAGCAAAATTAGCAGATACTTTGAATCATGAAGATCCAACCCCTGAAATCTTTGATGACATTCAGAGGAAGGTATTATATATAACGTTTATCATTATATGTTTCTTATGAAAAAAATGTATGTTTCTATATGCATGTAATTCATTTTTTAAAAGGTTATTGAAACAAAAGTATAGTGGTAACTAAAAGGTGAGTTAGCTAACACTTCTCATTTACAAAAAAGGTAGGCCAGTTTTTTGTTTATTTAAATGACAAGTGAGGAAGATCCTTATGTTGGGTTATTGAAATCTGACTAAAGGGCCAGATATATAGTCTTAGAATTTCATGAGTTGATAATGATGTATAAATGACCTGACATAAATTTCTTTTACTGTGTTCATGGAGCCTTTATGTGGACTTGTTTGTTAGAGAACACTACTTCCTGGAACATTATATATAACCTGTCATGTGACTTGTGTTGCAGTGGGACCATTTTCAATACATTGAGGTACTAGAGGGACCGTTAGTTGTGAAATTAGTTAAGAAATCATTAGTTGTGGTGTAGGCTTATTGCTGGCATCTTACAAGTATGGAATGTGTGATTCATTATAGCAATACCTCTTTCTAGCTTTTGGTGAAATCTTATTAGTGAAAATTAGTACATTATCTGTATTAATGATGGAATATCTTGATTTATTTCAACAAGGTTTATGAATTGATGCTACGAGATGAAAGATTTTATCCTTCCTTCAGACAGAATGCACTTTATGTGCGCATGTTAGCTGAGCTGGATATGTTAAAAGATCCTAGTTTCAGAGGATCAGATGATGGTGATGGAGGTAAGGTGGCACATATGCATGGTGTGTGCATGTGTGCGTGTGTGTGTGTGTGTGTGTGTGTGTGTATACATAAATATTTCTATATACTGTTGACCAAAAGATGATGTTTCAGGTAAGATAAAAAAAATGCCTTTAAGCCTAATGTGACTTGTGAAATATTTAAAATTCTATAAATGAATGACAAAGTTTAGTTAATACTAAATTAAAATGTTGAAAATTTAGTAACGGATTAGAACATAACTATAAAAGCCTTGAAGTCTTAAGAAGAATGTTTTCTTGAGTTTTGTCACCCAGATATTTTTTATGGTAGTTTCCGTTTGGTAGTAACTAATAATATTCATGACTAACAGTGGGATTATTGAGAAGATTAAATGAGATAACAAGTCATGATCCTGAGAGTGTACCATAAACTATATAAAGCATTGTTTTAAAAAGAATAATTTTTTTCTCTTTTATTACACCATTTTCCAAATCCTGAACAGTATAAGGTGGAAGAAACTACATGAGTTGTTTATTCCAGTCTTTCAGTTTTTTTCAAATGAGGATATTATCAGTATGATATAATGAAGAAGCAGACTTTGAGAATCAGAATATTTAGATTTTACTCCTGTTCTACTACTTAGTTACCTATAGTGATGTTGGCCAAACACTTAAGTCTCATTTTTCTCAGTTGTAAATCTGGAATAATGATTTTGTCATAGTAATATCTTCAGCGTCATTATCACACCATTGTCAGATTTAAAGGAAATTATGTATATGAGAATGATTTATAAACTAAAACAAATACCAGTTTTTATTAGTAGTATATAAGCAGTTATTTAAAAATAGTGGGAGAGGTAGCACTTAGAGCACAAGTCTCCATATTGTGAAGCCCAGTGGCCATTTTACTGGTGATCCAATTCAGCAGTATTTATAAAACTAATAAAATGTGTAAGGTGTGATAAGCTTCCTGGTATGTTCAAATAAGCAGTAGAAATAAAAAGTAAATGGGAAAGATTTCAGTAATTATTTTAAGAGAGTAATTTTAATTATTTATGAATAAGTTTTATGGGCAGGACTACTTGGGGTTGGAGATACAATAGGTCTATTAAGTGGTAAGCACTGCTTTAAAAAATATCTCTGTTGGGGCGCCTGGGTGGCTCAGTTGGTTAAGTGACTGCCTTCGGCTCAGGTCATGATCCTGGAGTCCCAGGATCGAGTCCCGCATCGGGCTCCCTG